GAATATCGATTTTTGCAATATTGAGAATACAATTCTGTTCTTTAGATTTAATTAGATTATTTCTTATAAAACTGACAATTTTATATGTATTTTTAATTTTCAAATTTTATTTTTATTGTCAATTTAAACATATTTACTAAAAAGATATAAGACAATATTTTATTTGATCGTCAAATAATTAGTCCTATCAAAATATCAATGTAATTGAATATACACGTATAATTGAATATTCGAGAATGTTAATTGTTATTAAGTAAAAGAGAGAGTTACGATTTATTTTTATTATTATTAACTTCAATATATTACAAAGATATAAGACAATTGACAACTTAGAATAATTCTAGCCTAATCATAAAATCCATCTTAGACAAAATAGAAAATTTTGAAAAGGATTATTGATAAGGCTATCGATGATATATTGATATATTAATATATTGATTAATAAGAATTTAACTTTCATTGCATACTTCAGGTTGTAAATAAAAGGAATGTGATTTTCGTTTCATCATTTTGACATTTCATTCTGTGTCATTATGCGATATTGCGGCATAACTTCGTTAGAACATTAGTAGTTCTCATTTGAATTATCTCTATACGGAAAGCGGAATACGTATAACTTGCATTGACCCGATCTCTGTGTTACGCCCACAGGCCGTTCAGTCTAAATATATCAATGATTTTTCGCGAGAGACATAATCGAAACATTGCTATATCGACGCGACGCATTGATATCGCGAGCTTTTTGCGAAACATTTTTACGCCTTACGCAATCGCATTGACACTGCGATCGTCTCGATTTTTCAAGAAGATTGAAAAAATGCCCGTCAAAAGTCAATTAATTCAAGAACTTAATTATTCACAGAAACTGTAAATACATCGGGTTATTAAGTAATTGGAACAGTTTTACTAAAATCTTGAAAAAAATTTGAAAAAAATATCTAGCGCCGAAAAAAAGTCTGCATTAATTAGAATTCTAGTTAAAAATGGACAAATCGGAATTTTCTGTCTAAATCTATTATAATTTTAGTCTTGAGATAATCAAAACTCTGTTTGATACGATCAAAATCTTCTGGTTTATCTATTTTCAGAAACTTTTCCCAATGTGAGAATTCCCGGATTTTCCCCGAGTTCCTCTGGGAAAATTCTGGCCAAACGCCTGAAAAACGTTTCGCTGTTTCTTAACAAGCATGTCAGTTAAGGGATTCCGTCTTATTTTATTAGCCATTAACCAATTTTGCTTTGTAAATTACAGTGAACATGTTGCAGCGCGTTATCATGCGCGACGATACCTTCGTAAGTCGCTCCACATCGGTTGGTTAAAAAGCGCCATTATTTACACGTTGGGATTTTTACGGAGTGGCCGGTTCTTGCGCCGTCCGTCGGTGCTAAATATTGTATCATGTAATCTGCCTGTAAGTAAGTCGAATGTGTTTCGCTTCGTGAGACCGACCCAACTGGACCCCAGTGCGCACGCTGTACCGTTTTTTTTAAAGCCGGCTCATTTACCATCTCGCGGTCCAGCGGTGTCAGAGGCGAGAGCGACGGTTCCGCGGCGCATATATCGATGCACTTTATGCCCCTGTGTGGTCCGGTTGTCAATGCAACTGGGAAATTTAAGATAAGAGGCCCCACGGACTTAAATCCGAACGGAGGACGTCTGCCATTACCGAAATCGGGGCCAAGCGGAAAGTTGAGTCCCCCATACCTTAAAATGTACCGGTGCAACTGGGCCTAATTTATGACGTCTTTACGCGCTTTATCAGTCCCTTCAGATTTTTCTCACACGCGTTATCCCGATCGGGTCCCCCAAGACGAAATGAGAGAGCTGCGATAAGGATAACCGAGGAGATTTATTTAGAGGATTGCGACGAATGTTTATAAATTCCTTCTTTCTGTATTAATTAAAGAAGAAAAATTCGCGATTTTAGAAAGTACACGTTTACAAATTAAACATCTCGTTTAAATATCTTGAATAAATTTATTGGCCAGGACATTTTTAATTGCGACATTTATAATTCAATTCACGGTTAGTAGATACGCAGATTATTTTCGATTTATAGTGAATACTTGTTTCATAACGAGAATCCAATTCTATAAATACGAAGAACATTATATCCAATTTATTAAGATTCAAAGCAATGTGTAAAAATAAGATTAAGAATGAGCAAAATTCAAGATAAATGTTGTAAGGTGACAAGTAATTTATTAACACTTCACTAACAAGATGATAAGAATACTATCACTACATTCAGTACTTTTAATATTTTCATTAGTAAAATTTTCGTTATTAGTAAGATAAAAGAGAGAATATAGAACACGATACATTTCTCTCAGTGTCAAAAATTAGATACAATGTTTTTTGTATTTATATATAGAAATTGGAATTTTTCATTATGAATTTTTCATTAATAAATTGTTTAACACCTAAGGATCTTATCTTGTATTTTATTCGTTATTAGCCTTATTTCTGCATATTGATTTGCAAATTATGAGCTGTATGAACACTTATTTACTGTTAAGATTTATCTTGAAATACGTAACTTGTGAAATATTTATTTCCCCTTTCATACACGCCCCTAAGAAATTCGAGATCATATTAATATTTCAAGACACGAGATACTTACACGCGGAATGCAATTAAATTAATTAAACAGAGATACTGCTTACATACACTCGTGACATGTATTTACTTTCACCTTATCCAGGACGTCTGGAAATTCTAGTTAAGCCATTGCGATTACGCGATAGTTGGAAAGATTAACGATGGATTCAAGCCCAAATCAGTTAAGTAGCAAACGAGGAGGCTTTAAAGATGGAAAGATTCTGACTTTTTGATACAATGCCGCTCTAATGGCAGGTTCACACCGGATACGTTCCGAGAAAGTCAATCCCCGAAGAGAAATGAGACAGATCTCGGAACATGTTCATTCTTTCCTGCAGAGACAAGTGGTTACCTTAAGAAATCTATACGAGAGTAGAGAAAGAGAGAGGGGGGGGGGGGGAGTTAAAAAGAGAGGAGGGGCAGAAAACGGAAGAGAGTGAGAGGAGAGTCTTAACGATCTCAGGATGCGGGCGACTTTGGGGGCAAATTATCGGCCTACGGCCAATTACCAGGTGGAGGCGCCGATATATAGAAGAGAGCGGTTGCCGGAGAAGTTCCGAGAATCGTCCTGGCGGCTAAAAATAAGATCCCACCCGGGAGCGGTGATTATGTTCCGAAAAAAGAAGAAATCAGGCGAAACGCTCGCTCTCGTGTGCAGGTGGCGAGTGGGATGAGGAAGAAGAGAGGTGGAACGAACCATGGATGGTATAGACGATACAGACGTAAGAGGGAAAAAGAGGGACACATGGAGAGGGGAGGGGGAGGAGGCGAAAAGAAAGAGAGTGAGAAAGGAGGGTCTCCTCGTGGTGATCGTGCGCTGGGGCTTCGGTTAATGAAGTTGTCGGTTGAGGACGTTTACAGGTAGAGCCTACCTGCGTGTGGTCCATTCACAGCGACTGCTGCAGGACTGGTTAAGAGTTGCTTTACATCTCAACCTGTGTGTGTGCAAGCCGGGCCGGTCAGCCGGCCGGCTGGTCAATCGAAGGAGAAGGAGGAGGAGAGCGAGAAGATGATGAGGTATATTGGTATACCCGACATGCGAATGTCCGTCGTTACATATACGAGTGCTCTCGATGAACAGTCATGCCACAACGACGTCGAATCGCGAGGTCAAACTCCCGGTTTCTCTCGGAGATCATGTTTTTAAACATTTCATTCTGAAAGATACCTTCGAACTGCACGATTGCTTTAATCTGACATAAAGCAGTATGATTGAAAGATAGGAAAGGAATAGAAAAGAATTTTGCAACGAATGAAAAGATGATTCTTTGGAAAAAATTTTTTGAAGAAGCTTGGCTCCACACGTGGTGAATTTTATGATTTATTACTTACGATCCCATGAACGCCAGGGGGGTTTGATTTTAGAATCATTCATTCTTAAAAGAAGGCGAAAGCTGAAAGAGCCAGCTTTACTTCAGCTTTAAGATATCTATTTTTAGTTTCAATTCATCTAATTTGGTTGAAAATATCTATTATTAGAAAAAACCGAAAATAATGACGATACTATAAACACATTCCTGGTATATGCCGAAAATAGAACGAGCAATTCCAACCGAGCAAAGAGTATTTAGTATACATTCCTAATAACATATGTGAATGTTTTTCATGTTTTCGTTGCTATGTTATCATCATGTCAATTTAATTTCGTCGCTAATCATATCTTTCAATTTAATCTGTTATCAGTAAAAACATGAATTTTTAATTACTCGCGTTAAAAATTCATGTTTTTACTGATAACAGTATATATGTAAAAGTTTATATTAATCTCAACTATTTAGAAAGTAATGTATATATTAATTAAATGATAAAAATCTATATATACCAACTTGTTAAGAATGTATTAAGTATGTCTGATTCTATTAGGTGTTGGAATTAATTCGTAGCGTTTTTAATGAAAGAATGTTATTTATTTCACATGAGCATTAAAAAATACATTAATGAAAGTACTTCCCATCACTTGTAAAACGCTACGAATTAATTCCAACACCTAATACATAATAAATATAAATCTTTAAATAATGATTCGCATGTAAAAAATTCTATGTCGTTTTAAATGAATAGAACGCGTATTTTTTCTATTATATATCAATCATATAAATAATTTAGGCACAGGTATGTAGGAACAAATAGTATGGTCTATAAATACGGAATTTTTAGCAGCTGGTGCTAAGCAAGTTGTAATTAACATGGAAACTACTTTCTGTATCTTACAGACAGTAATACATAAAATTTGTAAACATATAAAAGGCATAAAACTACTTTAAATAGAGACAACAAAGGCAATATTTTTAATGATTTGACGAATCAAAGAATCTTTGAGAATGTAGCATGTGGCTTATTTTTAAGTCGAAATTAGAAAAAAAGACTACAGTTTAATGACTATGGCTCTTTTTTTCAGATGATGCATCGGCAGCAGAACTCTCACTCATCATCTAACGACGAATTCGCGATGTATCCATCGGCCGCGTATCATTCCTCGTGTTCGACGCTACTCACGTCGACGTCGTCATCGTCGTCGAGGTCGTCGTCCGCGAGGTCGTCCTGTCCGTTACTGATGTCCATCCTCACGTGGTCGCTGACGTTACTGTTGATCTCGTCTTGCATCGACTTGGGCGCGGACGCCGCCAGTCTTAGCGGCCATCCTCTGGGCAAAAGGTCGTTCTTTGACATCCAGTGCAAGGGCGTGTACGACAAGAGCATCTTCGCCCGTCTGGACCGCATCTGCGAAGACTGCTACAACCTCTTCCGGGAACCGCAATTGCATATGCTTTGCAAGTACGTTTAATTATCCACAATGACTAGATACTTTCGCGACCGACAGTCCGCGTGTTGCTGCTGTTGCTCCGTGGTGATTTAGAGCGTAAAGCCGATGGAAGATGAGATATTCGCAATCGTCTGCGATGACGCGATTGATAGAAACGTGGTAATCTTGATATAAAAAGGAATTTAAAGTTATGATCTATCACAGGATTGCTACAAAACTAGAAACCAGGGAATTGTCAAACCATTGTCAGGAAATTTGCAAAATTAAAATTCTTGATTTTTGGAATAATTTAGATGGATAAATAGCTGGATGCTAACTTCAATTCATGAGAAATAAACCATTAAAATATTCTAATTTTGTATTTTAATTTTATTTCAAAAACATTTAATATTCACATAGATGTACTCCAAAAAGTTTTTTATATATATCTCTGTTATTATTTTTTATTTTTTATCATTTAATATTATATTATTTAAGATATACAATTATGTATATAACATACAAATATATTAAAAATATATTCCAATACTTAATTAGCAGTTTATTCCTCGAGATTTAATGAATAATCTTCATGTTATGCTATTTGCAATTCGTAAAACCGATTTGAGGGCTGCAAATGCGTGCTCGTTTTTTCATCATAAACTCCACAATCTTGGAGAAGTCAAATTAGTAAATGCATATTTTATATTTGATCGAGAGATTCTGTGTGAAAACAGATGCGATCAAGAAAAATTGAGTGTAATTTTAGAGTAAAAACAAAAATATCTAAAGACTCTTGTTATCAGATAAAAATAAAATTAAGTAAAGGGTATATAAAAGTAAAAACAAGAATCAAAAACAGTAAAACTTTAATAAACACACGTCAATTTTTTAATACTTATTCTCGATGTCATTATATTAAAAATACTATTAATATAATAATAATATATATTGATGGTATAATATATAAAATGTCTTGCAGCAATAAAAATTACATGTTTCAGTCGTCTCTTTTGTAATGTTGACATGTGTAGTCCGGCCATCTCGGTTGTTAAACTATGCGATCTCTTTTTAAGAATGTTACTGACCATCACTGGATACATATTTATAACTTTTTCATACTTTGTGACTTCTCTGGATTCATGGTAATTTTAACATTCAGTCGAGCAGCTGCTTGGGAACATTTCCATCGATCAACGTACAATCCATCGGAGATGGTTAGCTTACTAACTTTTATTTTTATTTTTAATTGATTTATTGTTTCACTTTACTGCGGGTTACGACTGCGATTTTAATAAATCTGAAGATGGCTCGATCAAGAAGCCGAAACATGTAATTTTTATTGTTGTAAGACATTTTATATGTTACATCATCTTATGTTTTTGACTCTTATGCCCTTTACTTAATTTTATTTTTATTCTGGAGCAAGTTCTTGTGTATAATATATGAGATTCATCTCACGAGCTAAGACGGATTTTTGAAAATATTATCGCGGATAGCAGAGAAAAATTAGTCAGAGAAAATTCTATCGAGTTCTGACAATGAAACAATTTCGCGAACGACTTCCGCCGTGTGATTTCTACCTTGAAAAATATCGGCGGGGAACAACGGCCAAGGTGGATGTACAGATATGTACCTTTGTACGTATATATATATATATACACACGCGCGCGCGCGCGCACACACACATATATACAGCTACAATACACACGTGCTCTGCTCTCGGTACTGATACACACATATACGCAAACGTACTTCCACAGAGGCGTGCGTTCACCATACGTCGGCACGCGTATCGAAATGGAATGAGATTTCTCTTCTATTTATAGCTCGTGTGAGCGAATACCAACGCACATCCGCTGCTACCTGCCGTTTGTGCCGCGCCGCGTTAAGCCGCTTAACGGCCGTCTCAAAAGAGCTATTGTGTGACGAGCGAGCGGGATCAACGTGAAAAAGAGACGGATTGACGGGCTAACTCGAATGTACGTAACGGCATGTAGCTAAATTTAGGAAAAATTTCAACCTTGTCAAGATGAAATGATGGGGAAAAGCAGATGCATCGAGGTGAATCGCAATTTAAAAAATATATTGGCGAAATAATTCAATCCTTTCACTAAGCGAAAATATTTTTGCATATATTTTTAAGTCGAGTTAAAAAAATTTTTTTTTTTGGAAGCTTAATTTTTTAAGTTGTATTGCAATTTATTTTAATTTATTCGAGTTCGCGGTTTAGAGCCGGGAATTAGATTGAAATGAATCGAAATAAATTAATATCTGTGGGTATAATTTCTGTTCATGAAATGAATAGAAAATAAAATGGAAATAAATTTCTTGTAAATATTCTTTTGATTTTACAATAACATTTTATAATTCTTTCTTTGTAAATATTGTATAACATATTCATTTCGATCGAAATAGGAGAGAATATTCCTATTCAATATTGTACTCAATATTGTATTCAATATTGTACTATGGATATAAATTCAGGATTTACATATTTCTATCAACTTTTTTTATTTAAATAAAAGTATGTATTTTCATAATTTTGAATTGTGATGTATTCACAGCTCAAAGAAATTCACAGCTTACAAATTATGTTAAAATTTTTTTTAATTGAAATGAATTCAAACGAAACTTATTCATAATTTTGAAGTGGAATATATTTATGGCTAACTCATTTAAAATCTAAATATTTTTGAACTCAAATGGATAGAAACATAAAATATGCTATTCATGTTGAATTTGGATAATTCATGTTCGTATAGATATATTATATGTTTTAATTGAAATGAAAGTAAAATGCGAAATAAGCTACTTATTCATCATGTTAAATATGAATGTATTCATGTCTGCATTATTTTATTTTTTTATTGAAATGAAATAAAATGAAAGAGAAGAATATTCATCACGTTCAGATATATTCATAAATTCGAAATGGATTTGAAAAACCAAAAGTGCGAATTCGGAAATGTTGAGATGAATTCATTTTTATTCATTTCAATTTATTCTCATTTACTGGGATGAGAGCGATATGTTTTACGATCTTTCGTGAGACATTTTTCAGGATTTTCGAGCTACGAGCTGCTGCCTACGAATGCAACTTAGTGTTAATTGTGACGTAATTCATTATGTTTTTTTAACTCTCTGCAGGAAGGAATGTTTCACCACGGACTACTTCAAAGGATGCTTAGACGTCCTGCTGCTAACGGACGAGGTCGGAAAGATCCAAATGTGGATCAAGCAACTCCACGGAGCTGATCCCGGGGTTTAGGTAGCCTTTTCTTTTTAGTTTATGATTTCTCCCTTTATGTGCCCCTTTTTATGTTCTTTCCGCTTTTCGCAAATATAAAGAACTAACTGTGTCCGCTTGCACTTCCACTATCCTTCCTCGTCTGCTCTCGTCTCGATATACGTCCACTCGTCGGCAAAACTTAAAACTCCGATTTGTTCACGCAATCTTTACATATAACGATTGTACGTAAACATCTTGTAATATTTGTAATGCTAATTTTGCCGTAAGTAATGACGAGTACATAAAAAAATCGTGAATACATTAAGTGATCGAGTTGTGCTTCATCAATCGCAGCGGTGTTTGGATCGAAAATCACGAACAAATATTTCAGAAACTGCTAATAAACGATAATATCTAGTAACGAGTAAAATGAATTATTCGCCGAGTTAAATAGCAAATGTATTATCGAATATGATTGCATTCCATTTCATGACACAAATCGACTCAAGTATCGTTCTGTCTTTTCTCGTGGAATGTCAAGAAAAATAGAATAATACTTTTGTATCGACTTGTAATACTAAAGTAAAAGTCTGTATTAATAATTCGTAAGTTTGTGTAAGAGAGATTAAGTTGTGAACAAAAATAGATATCAGGGTTGATCGAGTTTCTACTTATCCCCTTTTTTTTTTAATATATTTGTTATATTCCCGTTATCATTACTTTCAATTATATTTTCGTTGCATTTTGACATCATCCCCTGGACGAATATCCAGGCGTATTATAGTATCTTCGCACCGAGATAATGAGTATGAGATATTAGGTAATTCTACGCAAGAGAGAAAGAAAAGAAAAAGAAAAAACCTTATACTAGCGAGCAATGCTGCAATAGATAAAGATGAAGTGTTGAAATATATATAATATATAGAAATTATAAAGAAATCTTACCATTTTCTTCGAAAATGTTGGCGAACAATAAAATTAATTTTGAACAATTAATATGAATTAATATGAACAATTAATAGAAATATGAATAATTAATATATCTATTCTGTTAATTATATTTAAAATTTAATTTGACAAAATGCAGCATCGCTGGCGATGTAATATACAGCATCATCTCGTACATTCTGACTTCACATTATCTACATTCAGAAAAAATACAAAGTGATAACAACTATAAAAATAATAACTATACGAATTTTATATAAAATTAACATACATATAGTTGAAAAAATTATTTTATAATTAATTGTAACTATAAAGTAATTTATTCAACTATATATGCATTTTACATATAAAATTTGTGTAGTTGTCGCATCTTCATAGTTGCCACTACAATGTTTTTGTCTGATTGTGAGTGCATTTTGAAATACCTTTTGACTTTTTGAAGACAACGATTTTTCTACTATTTTTGCGAGTCTGTGAACGAATGTTTTACATTTTGATTTTTTGCGCCTCTTCGATATTTTTTCAGGACAATGATTAAGCAGATTGACTAGAAATACTTTTTTCTAGGTGGCGATATTTGCGATTTTGCGCTGTTTGACATTTTTGAATATTTTTGTGATTTTTTATAATACGAAACAATTCACGCTCTACTCGTGATACATTAATTCTCGATGTAGAGTGCGAAACACTCAATGCCTTCCCACACGTGTCCCAATGTCTCCCTACGCACTAACAATTACTAACTATCACAGATTTGTTCGCTAAATATGCCTATCAATATGAAATGTCGATGCACATAAAATTCTCAAGCTTTCTGTTCGAAGTGCTACTTGCGAATATCAGAATTGTAACATTCCTATCATTTTTCAAAATATTATCATTTATAAATAAAAATGTGTGGAATATGTATGTTATTATTGAATCTACGTAAAAATTGTAACTTTCTAAATTTCAAAACTATTATAATATAAAATTTTGCTATAACGAAAGTTTTTCAACTATTTACCAAATTTTATCTATTGGAACAATTGCGAACAGATCCAGTGAACACATCACGTCCAAGTTTTAGTGATTAATCGGTATTCACCAATGAACTAATCGATTTTTCTGTTCTCGATCTTTGTTCGAATCACAGGCAAGACTGCTTCAGCACACAATATTTCACGAGCTGCATCCAAGCGCTGCTGCTTGAGGACGAGAAGGAAAGGTTGCAGGATATGGTCGAGTACCTAGGTCGCAAGAAGTAAACGGGATATGGTCGGAGCAACGACGCGCCGCACCACGAAGGAGACACATCACTCGGCACACACATCCTCACACATATATGCATGCATACAAGTACACACATACACATACAAACATACACATGCAGAGACCAAGAAGTAGATCGATGTAGAACGCGGTCTGGAAAAAGGACTACAAGAAGAACGAAGAGGTGGACCTCGGCGCAACGATCGTCGTTGTTCCGCGAATTTCGAAGAGTCTCGAGTCTTACGAGATTCAATTCGATACCGTTCTTCACCTGAAGAGGGATGAGTCAGACGTCGCGTTGAAGAACAGTGAACATGCCGAGCGAACCGCGCGTATCGATCTCCGGATTCCGAAGAAATCGTCAAGATCTTTGTCAGAGTCCGGATAGTTTCATCTGGAGATGATAAACGACCTGGAGAACGGTACGGTAGTACTTACGACGTCTACGAAGTTCAGGAAGAACTCGCGGTGGAAAATTCACGGAATTGCCACACCCGGAATGTGCGATCAATGTGATTCATCTGCCAACTCGAGACGTGGTTTCGACGTGGTATCCACGTAATATAGCGAGGGATATCGCGAACGTCGTTCTGTTCTAACATCGGCGAGTACTCGCGGTGCGACGAGAGTACGATTGAGAGAATTCGCAGGGAAACCGGGAAGAGAGATGGCGATCCTCTTCGCGGTGAGTCGCGTTGTTGCTTGACACGACGAAGAACGAAGTTACACAATAATATACTAAATAATGAGTCCCACGAAGAGCGAAATGATACGATTGAGCCATACAAGTAAACACTCACACACTCACACAGCGAATCTATACGAATTCTAGTCGATAAAATATCTGCGCTCTCGCGCACCACGCCACTCGTTTTTTTTATTCGATTAATCATTAATTAATTATTAATCGCCATCATTCATCACTATGTAGTAATAACGATAATCTATATTATTATTATTATTATTATTATTATTATTATTATTATATTATTCGATTATTTTTACGTCAGGATTATATTTTTATTATTATCGCCATTCTTCATCCGTTTGTTGTTTAGTTACTGAGCCTTTAGTCGTTTATAAAAAACGTACGCGCGACGAACGAAGAAAGTGTCGGTAGTTAGAATACATCGCGTAACACAAATATAATACATATTTTAACGTTTTTAGGTATACAGAAAAAACAATAAAAAACAAATGCGGGAATTTGGCGAATATTTGGAAGAAAAGATTTTTTTTATTCGGCTAAATATTTTAAAACAGATAATTAAGAAGAATAGATCGAAGGTCCATCGGTCGCTCAAACTGCGACCGCATTATTAATATTATTATTATGTCGTAGTAGAATTATTGTTGTTATTATTGCAATTTATATGACGACGTTTTCGCCGAGGTAAACGCACCGGGCGTCACGGTGGAAGAGATGCTGACAATGTCCAACGGTATTCAATTATGCGCGAGTCGAATGTATATGTGACAATGGCTGCATTCAGGAAAGAAACATCTGTTTTCTAAAAAATTAGCACTAAAAATATTAATTGGTATTAATATATAAAATATTATTAGTATTAAAAAATATATTAATATCAACACGATGTGAATTTTAAACCTCATGTGTTTACAACATCATGATGTGAATTTAAAATTCATAGTATTAAATTACGTTGGTATTAAAATTAATACCAATAGTAACAATTATATCCAAATACTCCACATCGATATTTTTTAGAGTAAAGCAGCTTCGAAACTATTATAAAATTCTTCAATATGATAGATCTTGCCCTTAGTTTCTCTTACTGGATCTAAATATATAAATCAATCGTATTAAAGAATTTTACAACAGTTACAAAGCTGCTTTCTCTGCTGAACGCAGCCATTCTCAAAAGTTTCTCAAAAGTGAAAGAGGCAGATAAATGAAGAGGTATCCTGTACTTTATTTGCGAGCGATGGAGAGCGTCTTCTTCCGCGCCCGTCCGGCAGACGGAGTCGCTCACGAAACGCGTAGTATTTATTTATTTTTTCACGTTTTTAAGTTATATATAAGTGACACGTAACGAAGCAAGAGTATTAGCGCGCGTACCTAGCCGAGGAAGTGAGCATGTCTCCGGGCATAACAGGGTAGGACGCGCGTCCTCAAACGTTCAATTGCCTGATTGCCTAAGTGTACAATATATAAAACAATCCCGGGAGAAAGTCAGTCTGACCTGGGACAACTTATCATCGAAGAAGCCAAGACAAATAGAAAAGAATGGCACACAATGAGTCGATCTCGCGAGATGCCAATGAATAGGAAAAATTTTGAAGTAACTGATAGAAATATTAAATTAATTTAAGTTTTTGTCCATCAGTTTTGTCGAGTTTCGATTTCAATCCAACTTGCACGCAAACAAATGTCAAATTGGCAAGAATAAATGGGGTTTGCAATATTCTAATTTTCTATTTCTAGAAAATGGAAAAGATTGTGATGAAACGAAAATTAATATCAACTTCATTAGTGAAATCGGCTTTCAAAGTTTAAAAGAAATTTCGAATCTTCTGATTTTCTCCCGATTTCGAAGATTCCGGAGGACGCGCTCCATGAAAATCCCGCCTTGCCTTGCGACATCTTGTTTCCATTCTGAGAGAATTACGAACCATTCCAAAATCAGTATTGAAATCATTCCGTCACTGCGATCGTCAGGTACGGTCTTCGAGAACTCGGACACTTCGAGGCGATGCTCAAATTTGTATAATTGCTCCGTACATTCCACTTATTTTATATTTGCATCTATTTTGCATTCATTTCTTGCACATCGCGAAGAAAAAGGCTGCGTCAACAAATTCGTAATTTTTTATGTTAAAAGTTTTTATGTTAAAAGTTTTTATATTAAAAGAGAAAGATCGAGAGGCACATATTTACATTACATCAATATGTGTTTAGATAGTCTTGCATCTATTTTATATTATTTTTTTGCTATTCGGTTTTGTTGTGGTTTTTATATCATTTGTTTAAGATACAAAATTTGCAAGTTTGATTCATGCACTCCGAAGTGTTTCTCCTGAAGCCGGCCTGAATCTCGAGCACGCGCGTTTTTTGGCGCATCAGAAAATCAGCGGTTTTATTTATGCAACGTAAAAGCATCGTCCGGACAACGCGCAGCGCAATTATGTGTAGCAGCATCGACAGGTCGAATCTTTTAACGTCACAGTTTTCATGAAAAATTGAGCGCACTTCGCGCAGTAAAGTATTATACTTGCCCTACTTACATATTTCTCGCGGAATTATTTTTCTCACAATTTCATTTGAGAATATCTTATTGCATCTCGACAGATGTATTCGTATAGATGAATATTGTGTTCAGAGTCGCTGTAAAATAAAGAATCTCCGGGAGGATGGAATATCCCTTATAGAAATCTAATTTAATGTTGAAAGGAATGATTAATTACATTCCATACAGCATAAATCTTCAAGGAACGTTCTAAAGACATCCAGAAGATGTTCTTATGTCTTAAGAACATTTCCAGGATGCCTCTTTCACTGTCGATACTTATTTTGAGTATTAAAGACTAAAAAATATGAGTGTGGATTTAATTCCATGCGGTATCTATATAATTCTCACCCAGTTAGTGTTGACGAAACATCAATATGTATTTAACAATGAGCTTTAAATCCACATTATGATACTGTTGATACAAACCCCAATGTGGGATAGATTTAACACTACAGGTTTTTAATACATACTATGATGATGTTGATATAAACACCAAGGGTTTTACATTCACACCATATTAATATTAGCACGGTGAGAATTATATGGACATCATGTTAAATCCATATCCATATTTTTCATAATGAAAGCATCAAACTATAGTCCTTCAAATTAATTCAATTAATTACTTCAAATTAAATAATTAATCACTACCTTCCAGTAAATTTCTATAAGGGACACGCATATGCAAACAATTCTCGCGAAACAGAATGTCGTCGACCGACGAAATAGGTTCGCGAACTCGTTTGCGAGCGTTAATCCGTCACTTCCTGTTTCACACCTGTCGACGCGAGTTGCAAGCTGTGATCTGCGATTTGATCTTTCATCGATGCATGCGGAAAAAACACCTGTGCGTGCGTGCGTGCGTGCATGCGTGCACGACTGCGGATACGTTTTTCCGTTCTTCTCATTCTTTCTTTTTTACTTTTTTTTTTAGCTCTTTTCCCTTCCGACATGAATGAACTCGACATATGACAGACGATGTGTGTACACTTTTACGAGACACCATCGACTTTCGCTGGATGGTTTTTCTTCACATTTGCAAAGGACGGTAATGACACACGCGTGAGATATTTTTATCTGCGCGGCACACGAATACGCGTTCGTACAAATACACGCAGAAATACAGGGAACGGGTGTAATACACGCGTTCGGAGACACGAAGAGGAAAAATACTAGTATATATATATACACACACACACACACACATTATATATATATACACACGCATACTCAGTATACACGTTACACGCAGCTAAATTTGAGAATGAAGATGAGAAAGGGCTGAGGAATCGTATCCTATCCAATTAAAATAAAATTATATTATATATACATATAATATGTAATGTGTATACACCGCATTTCGTATATGCATTTCGTGGATGCGTATGATGGTGGACGCGCGATATTGTATGTATATGGACAGATGTGTACAATGAGTACGATTAACGACACGGATATCCAAGTCTATTCTTGTTTTGCGTGAATAAACGGGTGAATCAAAAGCCAATATGACGATTTGTTAATTTTATGAAATCTCACATTTTCCTCCCTCTTTCTCTTCCTTCTTTTGTAATCTCCCGCTCTTGTAATTGTTATTTTCATATTACATGTATTTAATTTTTATATGTTTATATATTTTTCATTTGTTATATTTAAATGTATTCCATTTAATAATTAAATATTTCGTTTAATTTAAATGTGCGTTTTTTAATTTATTGAATAATGTGCGTTTTTTAATTTATTGAATAATTATATATGTAATCGTATTCAATAATAAAATTATACATATACATGATATAAAGATATTAATATATAATTATTAAATATCAAAAATATAAAATTAATTTTGATTTTATAATTAAAATTTTTACTGCTACGTCTTACGTTTACCGTCAATTTGAATTCTAATAAGTTGCAAAACATACCAAGTTCGATTTACCGCTATCCTGCCAACGTCGTGAGTCAGCAATTTCGATGGACTGCGGAAGCCGTTTCGTTGCCTTCGTCGACTTTGTTTCGTCCTCTATTATTCTTCAAGAAGATTCAGGATTCCATTGCGTTCTTGAACAAGTTTGCCACTGGAAATTCCCGCGATTACCTGTACGAACTTGGCGCCGTCGCGTCCACGAGCGCTAACCTCTTCATATGCGATCACGAACTCGGCTCACTCTCTCGGGCGAGCGCATGAAGCGGAACGAACGCGCGAATGATAAGACACGATAATGGTCACAATGACCTTACCTCGCGCACACGTATAGCAAGTAAATTTAGGGCACTTGGTTCGCCCTTAAGGCGAAACAAAAGCACCCGTCAACCGCGGCTCGTCGCAAGTACGAAAAAACTAATCGCCAACGTAATTCGCTTGAAATTGTATCACGTGACGCGGTGCGATACGTCACGTGATGTCGCGGAAAATTCAAATTCCATCCCGCGTTTGCCGGGATCTCTCAAGCAGAACAAAAAATTATGGTAACATCAAAATGGCAATAAAATTGCTTCAAAATGATTAAAAGTGATTTGGGAATGGTATAAATTCCGATATAGGGATGAGGGATTCTTTTATCATTCGAATACACGACTTGTATTTTCGTTTATAAATGTTATAAACAGACGTCCGGTATTCGAAAAGTCCCTAAACGTCGTCTTCTCAAATCACATGTTCGAAGTGTAGTTTCATGCGCGGAAAATATAAATTATATTAAAATATATTAATATAAAATATAACATCAGAGAAAATCTGCAGAATGACAAACATGACAATATGACATACGATGTAATGCAATATATAAAATATATATTATGTTCAAATGCAACTTAACTGTATCATAAAAATACATTTTTTCTTATTCTTCTTACGCATCAAAAGATTGCTTCATGAATATGCTATAATTATAAGCTCGATGTTATAATTGTAGCTATCATTCAGCTATCGTTCAGCTTATAATTATAAGTGATGTTAATAAAGCTTTTACTAGAATTTTCAACGAAACAATCGAAACGACGTACTTCTACTTTCGCAAAACGATATATATTACATTCTATGTTAAGAGAGCGCGTTAATCGCAAGAATGCCATTCAGATAATCCATCTGCGAAATAAAGAACATAAAAATATATATATAATATAATATAAGCTATTATAGGTTTATAAAAATATCATGAATTTTAAGAAGGACTTTACCAATTCGGAGGATAATCAAAATTTATATAAAATCATTATATCAACATCTGTATAAAATTATATATAAAACGCTTATACGCATCAATATATTAAATGATTAATAGAATTAGTTTAATAGTGGAATATTTTATTATTCCCAAATATATTATTGAGATCTGCTCATGCTCATTTTTATCTTTATTTACCTAATTATTTTAAAAAATTTAATTAAAAAAATTCAACACAAAAGTTTAACAGAAAAGATAGACTTATCCGCACTTGAGTAGTGGTCCGCTTACAACACAAATACAAAATGTTTGTTGCTGTATAGTTAAGTTTTCAGGTACTTCAGCAAAACAGATATCTTTCTATATACGTAAATGATACTCACGCTGGCGATTTCTCCGAATCCCGAAAGGAAAGTAGCAATAGGTTTAGGTGGATCCGTAGGACTTGAAATTCTGACAGTGCCGTCCTTGGAGCTCGTTATCAGACATCCGTACGCCAGATGCACCCCCGTTATCCCTTTCGTATGTTTGGTAGAATAAGATTTTACTAACTCGAAATCGTTCTTTGGATTTAGCACATGCAACTTCGCAGTACTGTCCCCCACACAAACACAATCCCGTTGCATGCTCATACACATGGGGAACGCTTCGCCTGAAATCTAAGAAGCACATCCGCGATATCGTAGTTGCGGCTCTTTACGCGATGACAAAAATATGGGATAAAATTACTGTGATAGACTTCATGGTTCGTCCAGCTCTTTGATCCCAAACAGACACTGTCTTATCCTCGCTGGCGGACAAGATGTATTCCGAGTTCATGGCCAGCTTAATCACAGCCCCGGTATGCGGTCGATACTGCCTGATCGGCTTGTGTCCTGATCTCGAATCGAACACAAATATGGTCCTGCTGTACGAGCCGGTTGCAAAGAGGGCCTGCTCTGGACACGACGACACGCACAGCAATGCACCTGACGCAGTGTTCCTGAAATATTTAATATATACTCAAAATAATAATATATAGCAAATGGGTTTGGCGAGTAAACTTTAGAATTGCGTTTCCAAATCATTTGTCAACAAGCGAGATTTATAGTAATTCTTTTAGGAAAAATAACTGTCAACGAGCAAGATAAGTAATTCCTGTAGAAGAAATAATTTGAAGGAAAATAATTTCTCCTACAGAAATTACTTATCACGAAGCGATCAAAAGAAATTGTTTTGTTATATCGCATTCAAATAATTTAAAGAAAAATAATTATTTCTCCCACAAACAGGAATAATCTTTCTCGTCTTTTTATCGCAAAGAAACTGGAAGAAATAGTTTTGTTACCGCTTACATCTCGTAAGTTTTCAGTTTGACGAGACCGGTGTTAATTAGCATCCATGACTTGACGCTCTGATCCCAGCTGCAACTGTAGATCGTGTTATCTATCGCCGTCAAATCCCAGATCCATCCGTTATGCGCGGAATCCGTGCAAACAGTGTTCCCATTCTCGGAAGAAGATGGATTTTCGTGTGAGGGAAGTTTCCAGTAAAGCAGGGTGCGATCTCTCGCACCAGCTATACATATGGTTCCATTCTGAGAATAAAAATCATCAATATATCGTTATAAATATATTAAGAAATAACAGAAACATTATGTAAAAAATACAAAGAATATAACACTAACATAATATTTAAGTAAATTTGCTAAAGCATATTACTTTAGTAAAATTTATATTTTTATTAAATGTATGCATTTTATTCATTTATCTTAGAATTTATACATTTTAAAGTATATTATTTTTAAGTCGATCGTTCATAAATTGTTATTTTAAAAAATGTTTGAATATTTAACACAAAATATTTAAAAACCACAATCACATTATGTTAAAATACACTCAGATCAATTACAATCACATTATATTAAAAAATACTCAGATATGTTAAAAATTCAAACAAAAATACAAAAAGATTAATAAAGATCTGTGGTTTTAACACAAATATAAAATATTTTTTACTGTATAATTTAATATACTACCTACGTGCATCAGTAGCAAAGCATCCACTGTGCTATACTGTGCGCTCGCAATTATAAGTTTGTCCACTACGGAACCTTTCCATAGTGCTGTTTGTTTCTCGATCGCAACGCATGACAATTTCCAAAACAATTTGTCGGGTCTCGCTGAAATATTATATAACTTCTTATATCAAAGAAATAAGAAAAAAACACTTCCTTGTATTATGATATTAAATAAATGCGTATACATACAACTTGAATTAAGAACAAATAAACGTACATTCTTGATTGAGATTTTTATTCAAGTTCTTACTTTATCTTTGTATATCAGGTTATTGCAGTAAACAGAGTTGCTCAAACTTGTTTGATTTCTTATAAATGAGAAACGTAATATATATTTTTATAAAACATTAAAAAAAATTTTTTTTCAAGATAAAGAAAAATGAAATGCAAAAACAAAATAAAATCTGACACAATATAAGCAATTGATATATGTACAACCTACATGTGCATGCGCAAGTTCGAACAGCACTGGAGCAGAATATAAACTGTGTTTCATTTATTTAAAAAAATGAGTGGTCGTGCAAGGCGTAAAGTGCTATCAATTTGAGCTAACCAGGACGCAAGAGTGGGTAGCTAGCATCCGGCCATATATGGTTAATTCGCGCTTTCCACAATGAATCATCCTTCAAAATTAGGTAGAACTGTTTGCACACTAGGCTCAAACCGTGTACTAATGTCGATGCTTCTAAGAAGGAGCATATATACAGGAATATCTGAAATGTAACACAATAACAAATTAAACGTACACTCAAACAGATGCTACGATCGGAATGAATGAGAGAGAAAGTTCACTTTATTGAAAAGCGACTATTGACGAGATAATAGCGGCGATTTAAAAAAAAAAATGAATTTCACGCGAGCGAAAGACGAAAATCTCAGCGGTTTTTTTTTTTCGTTTTGTACAAACCTCGACCGGAAGATCAAGCAGTGACAGTTGTGCCTCATCTTCACTGTCATACGAGCAACTTGCATTTTCGTCATCCATTTTTCCTCGAACCGTGCAAATCTGAGTATTTTCATTCAATCTGTTTGAGATTAACGGAGCGATTCAACAAAAACTGAATGCGTTCTAATCACAGATGTTTACGATGTCTGATCTGTCGTGTTATTAAACATAACGATCACCTGCTATCGAGTACTCTATACAACTAATTGTAGGAATACATCGCTGTACCAAAGAGAAACTTAAGAGAGGACGTGAGAGCCTTTTGCAGTAATCAAAATGCTGCCGTGCACTACTGCCCTCTGAAGAAATGGATGTAAACTACATAACAATATCTATTTTTTTGCGGTGCTCCTGATGGAAATAAATCGCTGAAATCGTTGAAATAATTAAAATCTATCAAATTAATATTCAGGTTTCTTTCTGCCTGTATTCACAGTCAGATCTTATATTTAAGATCGTCGTTAAGATACAGCATAAAAATGTCATGAACCAATCAGGAAGCTATTAACATTTTAGGACATTATTTAAGATGGTCTTAAAATAAGAACTGATTATAAATATCGTCTTATGCCCGTATTCATAATCAGGCCTTGTATTTAAGACTTCCTTAAATTTATCTTCAGATACTGTACGAATTATTTCATTGGCTGCTGACCCAGCAAACGAGAATGAATTGAAATGAATTAAAATGAATTTAGATTTTCAGAAATATTGATTCACGAATGAATTCATGAAATGAATTAAAATGAATGCTTTTCAATCCTGAATGCATTTTTATTTATTTATATGAATTGCATGGAGCATATCTCTATGCTTTTCAATTTAAAAATAATATTAACTTTTTCTGTGCACAATACACACATTGTGAATATTGTTCAATTCAAAATTTTGAATAAGAAATACAGTTTATTTTAATCCAATTGTATCTAATTGAATCCAATTGAATCCAATTGAATCCAATTAAATCCAAAAAAAAGTATTCGCTATTTTTTTAAAATATGTATTCGGATAGAAAAAAATTTTAATCCATTTTAATCCATTCTCGTTTGCTGGGAGCATCTAAAGATAAATTTAACGAAACCTTAAGTACAAAGTCTGACTATGAATACGGGCGTTAATGTCTATCGCACTGAATGAGAGATCAATGACGAGCGATATTTAATAAAAATTGCTTTGTGAACATAAATAAAGACACATCAGATCTCTCAAAATTTTTTACGAAATTTGTGAAGTTATACGGGGTGAATTATTGTACACAAATGTGGTTTACAGTTTTTGAAAAAGTAAATCTTTACTTTTCATGTTTTTTTTATGAAGCTTTGCATGATTTTTTTCTCCGAAAAACGACCCTTTTTGCTTCAATGTTGAATAACTCGATGAAAAAAAAACCATACCGAGATCAATAATAAAGCAAATTAAAGCTCAAGAATCGTTCTTTTGAAAGCTGTAAACCACATTTGTACGCAATTTTTAATTCGCTCTATAAAATTTCGCAAATTTTGTAACAAATTTTGAAATCTGATGCGTCTTCATTTATGTTTGTGTAATTTCATAAAATCAGTAAGACCGATTTTTTAAGTACCGATCTGAAAAGTAGATTTCAAGCTGTAGAATTCTTTTTTGGACATCTCGATACAATGATTTTTTACGAAGTTATCTTATCTTAAAGTTTGCCTAAATTTTTTTGTAGGGCAGAACAGGTGATCCTTTAAAATATCTAATTTTAATTAAATTGTTGAAATTAAAAATTAACACATATAGATATTTAAATATAGGATAGGAATTCCTGAAACATAGCGGACCAATCAATGCACTACTTTATCATATTACAATTTGCAATTTGAATAAAGTTGAAATTCTTCTAATTGTAAACAAC